CCAAACAGTCTGGTTTGTCAGAGAATTCAGGCGTTGCATGCCCTGCCGGACCAGCCTGCATAAATGTCCATGAAGCTGCCACGGTGGTCCATGAGGGCCTGGAGCACGATGGAGAAATACCCCTTGCGGTTTATGAAATGGGCCGCTCGATGCTCTGAGGCACCGACAGGGATGTGGGTTGCATCCAGGACTCCCCTGCAGTTGGGGAACCCCAGGACAGTGAAGCTGGCCACTGTAGCCTGCCAGAGCAGGCATAAGGCTACCCCTGGCACAACAAAAGAGCTGACGGCAAAAAAAATCAGCAAATGGCACTAAGGCACAACCTGTGGTGTCCAAGAAGGCAGAGGGCAATCACAACTAGAACTGCTACGGCTGTCAGTCCCTGCAAGAGATACTAAAGCACACAGCAGGAGAGAAAAGGCTGTCAGGGAGATCCCTTTAAGCATGTGTCTCAAAGGAGCTCCAGGCCCCGCCCTGGCCCCTGGAAAGGGCTGGTGCCCTTTTGCTATCTCCAAAGTGGTTCTGGGCTCCTGCTTTTGCGCTAGAGCGTCCCACCAATGTAGACGCTCTCTTGCGCAAAAGACTATTGCTCTGACGATGAGTTCCGGCCAATATAGACACTCTTTTGTGCTAAAAGAGTTTTAGCGCAAGATTGCGCCAATGTGGACGTAGCCTGAGTTTTGGGCTCCTAATGCAGCATGGAAGTATTTTGGAATTGTGAGATAATGACATTAGCTGTATGTTTCTGCTAATGTCAACAGAGAAATAAGTGTTGATATTTAAACTCTGGTCTTTCTGTTTCAGAGTTAACAAGTCCACTAGAGTCAGAGAGTTTAAGACCAGAAGAGATCCCTAGTCTTACCTCCTTTATATCATAGGCCACCAACCCCAGATTGACCAGATACAAATTTGCCATGTGGGGTCAGGAGCAATCAGTTAGACCCTTAGCACATGAGCAAGAACCAGTCAGCCCAGCACCTGAGAAAATACTCAGTGCCACCCAGTGTCATATCTCCAGACGTAATCATCCGTAATACTTCACAGAAAGGAGATAAGTCTTTCCTAAAATACATTGGGGAAGGGGGAAAATCCCTTTCCACCTTGTTACCACCTCCTGGCATGCTCTTTTCAGGGTCTTTGCTACTCGTGACTGGACTTCCTTAGTTTGCTCCCAGGTAAGGTAGTTCTTGGACCCTCACCTCTAACTGAGCCTAGCAATTTGCTTCTTTTTCCTGGCTGTGTTCGTAGAGGCTGCCTGGCACAGGGTCACTGCCCCTCTGCTTTTCCAGGTCCCTGTGACTCTTCTTGTTTTTCTGTATTCTCTCCTTTGTAGCAGTCCTTCTTTACTTTATTGGCTGCAGCTATGGGTGCCTGCCTCCATGATTGTCCGCTATGCTGGCTGCATGGGAATGTGATCTAGCTGCTTGCCTGTAAACCTGAGAGGCTTTCCTCCCTCTTCTGCCTATGCTCATGTAGGGTTCATATACACATCTGCTTTGGGAGCAAAACACAAACTGAAAGTGGTTCTCAGACCTCTTCCTTCTAATCCCTGTCAGTACAGGCAGCCCAGCTACACAACTGTATTCATAAATTTGTACAGCTCTCTCAGAACTAATTAAATTGTTTGCCCCACAACAGTTTCCAGAATTCCACCCCTCTCATGGATAAAAATCTTCTATTTTTCTGCCTGAATTTGTCTAGCTTATCCATTTGTTCTTGTACCACCATTATCCTTTAGCTTAAAGCTTATTTGCAGAGAACAATCATTATCCCTTTCAGCCTTCATTTTGTGAGACTAAAAAAGTCAAGATCTTCCTGTCTCATAAAATTAAGTCCCTCATTTCCCCCAATAATTCTAGTAACTCTTATCTGCACCTGCTCCAGTTTAAATTCTGATTTCTTGAACGTGGGTCATCAGAACTGTAGACAGTTTTCCAAATGAGTTCTTACCAACGCCTTGTATAATGTCATTAATACTTGTGTGTCTAGTGGAAATGCCTTGCCTAATACATCCTAGAATTGCACTTGTTTCTCACAGCCGTATTAATAGTCATAGAAACAAAATCTGGTCCTGTACCAGCTACCAAATATTTAATAGATGTTCATGATTCAACTTATTCATCTGTGTGTGTTTTTATTTTATTTGTGTTTTTGGCAGAAATTCAAAATATCCCTCCATGGACATCTCAGTTATCCACAAATCTGGTTCCTCAATACGCCATTGCAGTTCTTCAGTCCAACTTGTGGCCTGGAGCATACTCTTTTGCTATCGGCAAGTAGGTAGCTCTTATTTATGTAGCTTCTGGCGAACCTTGGTACGTCAAAGTGTTCATTACTACTCCATTCTAAATTGGCTAATCAAATAAACCTATTTAATTCATTCAGTTGAAATGTTTATTTTGGTGATTTTTAATCCATTGACTTCACTTATTAAAATATAGTCACCTCAATGATCGTGGAGACCACTTAATAGTGCACAGCAATAGTAAACAATAATTTAGGGCAAGTGTAACTAGTGGAAATCAGATTTACAGAATGTAATTATTGAATTAGTATTTGGCCAAGGTATCAGTCTTACCACCTACCCTTTTTCATACAAAACAGTGCCATGGGAATGGGATCTTTAATAGCCACTGACATGTTTATCTTTATTTACATTAGTTAAGAGCAGATGCCATTATTGAAAATATGTCCAATATTGGTTTTTGTTCAGCGAAGCAGAAAAGCTTAAGAATAGACAGCACCCTCATACTTTTTTGATAGGAAATTGTGATCTCTTGATTTTGTTCCTCAGGAAATTTGATAACATTTATCTGGGCTGGGGTCACAAATACAGTGTGGATAACTATTCGCCTTCACTACCCCCATCGGTGCAAGCAGAGTACCCTAGTGGGCCAGAAATCACTGAAATGAGTGACCCTACTGTGGAAGAGGAGCAGGCACTCAAAGCTGCACAGGAAGAAGCTTTGGCTGCAGCTGAGGAAATAGATGAGTTGGAGGAAGAAGAGGATGAAGATGAGGATGATTAAAATCTACAAAAGTCAGATTTGTATAAAAGTTTTTCTAAAAAATAGTTTTAATATATTTAGTATAATGAGTATAATGACTGAGCCAATCTTAAAAAATCAATGTGTGTATATATAAAATAAACACCTTTGTTATTTCTCTTCTTGTAGGCTCTTCTTATTTTGAATAAATATGTTGATGTCCTGCCATGGGGGCAGGAGACTGGACTTGATGACCTCTCAAGGTCCCTTCCAGTCCTAGTATTCTATGATTCTATGTTAGGAAAAATTTCTTAAGGAATCAATTTAAGGCTGGCAGCATGGATCCTGATGCATAAGACCATAAAAATGGCTGGTTCTTTTTTTTAACCTGCTATAGTCTTGGCCTTCACAACATCCTCTAGCAAAGAGTTCCACAGGTTGACTGTGCATTGTGTGGAAAAAATACTTTCTTCCATGTTTTAAGATCATTTGGTGATCCCTAGTTCTTGTAAAAGCGGCGAGGAGTCCTGTGGCATCTTATAGACTAACCAAAGTGTTGGAGCATAAGCTTTCGTGGGCAAAGACCCACATGATTTGCCCACGAAAGCTTATGCTCCAACACTTTGGTTAGTCTATAAGATGCCACAGGACTCCTCGCCGCTTTTACACTCTGATACCTAGTTATGAGAGTGTAAATAACCGTTCAATATTTATGTTCTCCACATCAGCCATGATTTTATAAACCTCTATTGTATCTCCCACCCCAGAATTCAGGATACGGGCAGATCATAGATTTATACAGAGGTAATATAATATTCTGACTCCTTATTTATCCCTCTTATTGATTCTCAACATTGCTTGCTTTTTTAATTGCTGCTGCACATTGAATAGAGAACTTTTCACAGTGACTCCAATATCTTTCTTGAATGGTAACAGTTAACTTAGACCCCATTTCATATGTAGAGTTAGGATTTTCCAATGTGCATTACTTTGCATTTATCATTACTGAATTTCATCTGCCATTTTGTTGCCCGATCACCTACTTTTGTGAGATCTTTTTGAATGCCTTTTGTGTTTATCCTTACACTGGCATTTTTCTTTCCAGCTTATTCCTCAGTTAAAGGGATCACTGTCAACTTCAATTTTCAAAAGTGATTTATGTTCAAAAGAAGCAGTTTTTTAGGGCTGCACCTAGATTAGAAATATTAGAACCTAAATTTCACTACCAGATCATCTACATGTGTAATATAGATCCAGTCCTGTCCTTCATTAGGACCTGTAATTTACCAGTCACTAAAACAGTAATTGGGTGTTTGTATATCTGTATTATATTGTCTTCATACTGGATGTAGTGAAAGTATGTGAGCTCTGTTGACCTGGAAGGCTTGCAGGATCAAATACTAAACCTGTGACATAACTGGGCAGTTCATTAATAAAGGCTTGCTGTCTATCACACAATTACTGTAATAGATTTTAAGATTCAATGTGACTTCTAGTGCAATCAAGTGCAGGTCTCATGGCAAAATAAATGATGTAGGGTTAGAACTTCCATAACTTTTCAAGGATAGGCTGCACTGATCTCTTTACACATGGGGTGCTGCAGGTGTGTGGTATCTATCAGACAATGAATAAAGTTACACCAAAGTCTAGACAAAGGCTATTATTTCACTCACTTAAGCTAAGAGTAACAAGTGATCCTGTGGCACCTTAGAGCAGGTCTACACTGGGGAGTTATTTTAAAGTTATTTCTAAATAACTCCCTTTATTTCAAAATAACAAAGCAAATGTCTACACTACCAAGCCTACTATTTTGAAATTGTGGGCTTGTTATTTTGAAATAACTCCTGCTCATGAAGAGGAATAAGCTTATTTTGAAATAATTCCTGAAATAAGTATTTCAAAATAACCTGGCAGTGTTGTCATAGTTTATGGCTATGTCTACACTGCCCCCTCTTGCAAACAAAAAAGGCAGATAAGGAAAGTGTGGAATATTGTTGCACCTCATTTGCATAATTAACGAGGCTCTGTTTTTTGTGCAGTGTAGAAGTAGCCTAAGGGTATGTTTACATTACAGAGAAGATCAAAGCTGTCACTATCAATCTTCCAAGGTTTGACTTAGTGGGTCTATGGAAGACATGCTAATTCAAACTGAGAGGGGCACTGGTCAATGGCAAAATGCAGGACCTGCATTTTGCTTCAGCTACCCCAGACTAACACGGCTACATCTCTATCACTGGTCAATGGCAGTAGTCCTGTTTCTACAAGTAATAAGGGAAGGCAAAGGGAGAGTTTTCTGTCTTCCACTTCTTGCACCATGGACATGACAAAAGTTGAGGTAAGGGATTTTGACTTCAGCTATACAATTAACATAGCTGAAGTTGTGTATTTTAATTTGACCTTATTCTATAGTGTAGACAAATCGTAAGGTGCCACAGGACCACTCCTTACTTTTAAGTTACAGACTAACTGGGATATCCCTCTGAGATATTTTAGGGTAAGACAAGAGTGGGGGGCAGAGAAATGGCATAAAACACATTCCAGGGACAGAACCCTGGCTGTGTCACGGACTACAACTCCCAGCATGCAATATGTCCCGGCTGTGCGAGGAGGGCAGAGGGAGGGGTGGCTTTACAGGCTGACAGCTGGAGTTTCTCGAGCTAGAGCAGTTCCCTGTACTGTAGCAGTGTGATCCCCATTACCATGAAACGTTCCTACCCGTTGAATCCCTGAAAGGGGCTGTCTAAAGCCGGGTTGTTCCAGGCACCTCCCCCTGAGTGCCGGTGACAGTGGCGCAGTCCGGATTCCGGAAGTGTCTGTCAGGGACGGGCCAATAAGAAATAGCTCGAGAGTAATTCAAATGCTGGCGGCAGTTGGCGGCCCGGTGGAGGAATCAGCCGGGTGGGCTTGGTCCAACGGCTCCGGGGAGGTGACGCGCAGCGGGGCGATGGCGGAGGAGGGGGCCGGGGCGGTCTGCGTGCGGGGGCGGGC